GTTGAACGGTTTTTATTGATTTTAGGGGGGGATCTCTCTATTTCCTGGATCTGAATGCCTGTATCCCTTCCCAGATTGGGAAAGTTTTCAGCTAGGATTTGTTCAAATACATATTCTGGCCCTCTGGCCCTTTCGGCGCCCTCGGGAACCCCAATTAAACGTAGGTTTTTCTTCCTTAGACTGTCATTTATTTGCCTTAATCTGTCTTCATGGTCCCTTAATTGATTGTCTCTTTTTTCCTCAGTTTCCCTCTTTGCCATTAACTTGTCTTCTTTTTTTTTTTTTTTATAAATTAATTTTTATTGGTGTTCAATTTACCAACATACAGAATAACACCCAGTGCTCATCTCGTCAAGTGTACCCCTCAGTGCCCGTCACCCATTCACCCCCACCCCCCACCCTCCTCCCCCTCCACCACCCCTAGTTCATTTCCCAGAGTTAGAAGTCTTTATGTTCTGTCTCCCTTTCTGATATTTCTCACACATTTCTTCTCCCTTCCCTTATATTCCCTTTCACTATTATTCATATTCCCCAAATGAATGAGAACATACACTGTTTGTCCTTCTCCGGTTACTGTGGCCAAGTTCAAAAAGGGTGTTGCCTGAGTTCTTCTCTGGGATTTTGATGGAATCTTGTCTCACATTTAGATCTTTCATCCATTTTGAGTTTATCTTTGTGTATGGTGCATGAGAGTGGTCCAGTTTCATTCTTCTGCATGTGGATGTCCAATCTTCCCAGCACCATTTATTGAAGAGACTGTCTTTCTTCTAGTGGATTGTCTTTCCTCCTTTATCGTATATTAGTTGAGCATAAAGTTCAGGGTCCACTTCTGGGTTCTCTGTTCTGTTCCATTGATCTATGTGTCTGTTTTTGTGCCAGTACCACACTGTCTTGATGAACACAGCTTTGTAGTACAACCTGAAATCTGGCATTGTGATGCCCCCAGATATGGTTTTCTTTTTTTAAAATTCCCCTGGCTGTTTGGGGTCTTTTCTGATTCCACACAAATCTTAAAATAATTTGTTCTAAGTCTCTGAAGAAAGTCCATGGTATTTTGATAGGGATTGCATTATACGTGTAAATTGCCCTGGGTAACATTGACATTTTCACAATATTAATTCTGCCAATCCATGAGCATGGAATATTTTTCCATCTCTTTGTGTCTTCCTCAATTTCTTTCAGAAGTGTTCTGTAGTTTTTAGGGTATATTTTGAGAACCATTTGAATGGTAAATGGTTCTCCAACCTTTTATTTTCAGGTTGTAGGTGTCCTTCTGTCTAAAATGAGTCTCTTGTAGACAGCAAATAGATGGGTCCTGTTTTTTTATCCAGTCTGAAACTGTGCGCCTTTTGATGGGGTCATTAAGCCCATTCACGTTCAGAGTTACTTGAACTTCTTCTTAAAGGGGAGTTTTAAGAGTCCCCCTTAAAATTTCTTGCAGAGCTGGTTTGGAGGTCACATATTCTTTCAGTTCCTGCCTGTCTTGGAAGCTCTTTATCTCTCCTTCCATTTTGAATGAGAGCCTTGCTGGATAAAGTATTCTTGGTTGCATGTTCTTCTCATTTAGGACCCTGAATATATCCTGGCAGCCCTTTCTGGCCTGCCACGTCTCTGTGGAGAGGTCTGCTGTTACCCTAATATTCCTCCCCATGAAAGTCAGGGACTTCTTGTCTCTTGCTGCTTTAAGGATCTTCTCTTTATCTTTGGAATTTGCAAGCTTCACTATTAGATGTCGAGGTGTTGAACGGTTTTTATTGATTTTAGGGGGGGATCTCTCTATTTCCTGGATCTGAATGCCTGTTTCCCTTCCCAGATTGGGAAAGTTTTCAGCTAGGATTTGTTCAAATACATATTCTGGCCCTCTGTCCCTTTCGGCGCCCTCGGGAACTCCAATTAAACGTAGGTTTTTCTTCCTCAGACTGTCATTTATTTGCCTTAATCTGTCTTCATGGTCCCTTAATTGATTGTCTCTTTTTTCCTCAGTTTCCCTCTTTGCCATTAACTTGTCTTCTATGTCACTCACTCGTTCTTCCACCTCGTTAACCCTCGTCGTTAGGACTTCTAGTTTGGATTGCATCTCATTCAATTGATTTTTAATTTCTGCCTGATTGGATCTAAATTCTGCAGTCATGAAGTCTCGTGAGTCCTTAATGCTTTTTTCTAGAGCCACCAGTAGCTGTAGAATAGTGCTTCTGAATTGGCTTTCTGACATTGAAGTGTAATCCAGATTTTGTAACCCTGTGGGAGAGAGGGCTGTTTCTGATTCTTTCTTTTGAGTTGAGGTTTTCCTTCTAGTCATTTTGCTCAGTGCAGAGTGGCCAGAAACAAGTTGTATTGGAACACGGGGGAGTATCACTGGTCCGTCTAGCTGGTCTTCTGGGGGAGGGGCCTGCTGTGCTGATTCTCAGGTGTTAGCACTTGGGGGAGCTGCTCTGCCCCTGCCTGCTGCAGGGCTCAGCGGGGGTTGTTTACCCCGTTGGGCCCCAGGAGGATCAGCAGCAGTTGCTATGGCAACTCTGGAAGCCTGGATTCAGCCTCCGCAGGAAGTACGGGGCTCGGGGCTCTCGGTTCCGTCCGCAGGGCCTGGAGGCTCCGGGGCGGGGCCGCTGATCTGCTCAGCTCGGGGCAGGAGCGTCCTCGCTGTCCTGGGCCCTCCCGGCCTCTGCCTGTCCCGGGGGAGGCCGGATCCTGGGCTGTGTCCCGGCGCCCTGTGCTCCGGGGCCTGCGCTGGTGGATTCGCGCTCCCGCCCTGCAGCTCCCTCCCTGGAGCCGCTCCCGAGCCCGAGCCCCTCCGAGCTGCTCCGGTCGGTCGGTCCCCTCCGTGCGCGCTGCAGCCCTTAGGGAGCTCGTTGCACTCTCCGGGGGCGCAGGTGTCTGTTAGTGTCCCCGGGAGCCCGAGGGTATCCCCGCCCTCCTGGGTCCTGCTCCAACTCCCTGCGAGCCCCTTTCCGCCCGGGAAGGTTGGTGCAGCTCCTGCTCCTCCGGGACGGGGCTCTCCTGTCCTGGGGACACTCGCCCCGGCCTCAGCCCGGCTCCTCGCGGGGCCCCTCCCCCTCGGAGGCCTTTTGTTCCTTTATTTCTTTTTCCCCGTCTTCCTACCTTGATAGAAGCGCGAACTCTTCTCACTGTAGCATTCCAGGTGGTCTCTCTTTACATCTCAGGCCGAATTCGTAGATTTTCAGGATGGTTTGAAGGTTATCTAGGTAATTTGGTGGGGACAGGCGATTTGGGGACCCTGCTCTTCCGCCATCTTGCCCCTCCTCGAGCAGAAGTTTTCTTGAAGGTCAAACACTGAATGATCAATCCAAGATAAGAGCAGGGAGGGGTGGCTGGGAGAGGTGCCAGGTGTTTATCTGAATACTAGTGAGTTGCAGCGAGGAGAGGAACGGGGCCCCACGAGGCCATCTATTCCGGGCTGAGGAGCTTCTGTAGAAGATCCTTGTGTACACTGGGCAGAGAGGAGGGTCCTTGTGGGGAGCCTTGGAAGTGACATATGTGCACTGGTCTGGCTGCTCCAATTGTCTCCGGGCAACTGACATGGCATCCAGATGCCAGGCTCGCTGCCCATGCTGTCACCCTTTTCTCTGCTGCTTCTCTTGATCCCACTGCACCCGACCAGGTGACAAGCCTCAGGGTCATGCCTCTCTTTTGGGGCATTCAAGTCTGGGCCCAGGCTGAATCAATCCTGGGTAAACCTTGTAGGATTCTAGGGTGAGACATCCAGGTGACCAGACTGAGGAGTACCCACCAAGTATGTATAGTATCTGAGGGGCACACTTGAAGGCTTCAGTTGCCTTTAAACCAGAGAAGTGTGGATGTCTCTACTCCGGATTTCACTGGTCCCTATGGAGGTTTCCTCCTTGACAGCAACCCTCTGTCACTACCCGACCCTGTCAATCCCTGCTGTACACAGCCCCCTTCCCCAGATATCAAAGTGGCGTATAGTAGCAAGCACCCGACTCTCTCCCACAGTTTCTAGGGATCAGGAATTGCTTGGGCTCTCACAGGAGGTTGCAGTCAAATGGTAAGCAGAGCAGCTGGAGGGTTCCTGGGAGTCCCTCCCTGCATGTGGGCTCTCCACATTGGCTAGTTTGGGCTTCCTCACCCCATGGTAGCCTCAGGGTACACTGCATTGTTTTGAAAGTCACATACTGTCATTTCTTATGTATTTAATAGGTCAAAACAGTCACTGGAGACCAACCCCCTTTCAGGAGAAAGGGACATAGATCCTCTTTCTTAATGGGAGGGATGTCAGAGGATTTGTTGACATTATGTAAAACTATCACAGCCCCTCTGTCCCCTTCTATCCAACCAACACTCATTGATTGCCCAGATGGGTTTGAGGTATCTGGATGTGACCTTATTTTGGTCCAATTCCTTCCTTTTGTTACTCTATTTTTAGTTTTTGGAACTCTGGTGCAGAGACTTGAGTGAATTACACTCTTCAGTCCATTGTTCATTTGTCATCATTGATCCACGCAATGATTCTCTTTTCATTCATTCATTCATTCATTCATTCATTTTTCGTTTTTATCCCCATATCCTACTTTCCTCCTCACTTTCCTTAAACAACCATTCTCTTATATTTAATGAATATCCTTTATTTATATGTATTATGAATGTCACTGACATATATGGCATTGCGTATGCGCCATTTTCTGCATCCTCCTTTTCTCACTTGCTCCAAGTTTCTAGGTCCATACATGTACCATACGTGTATGCTGTAATGCATGGTACATCTCCTGTCTTGTTGCCTAAAGTGAGTCAGTGAGACTGGAGAGGAGGGGTGACGTGTCCAAGGTCACACAGCCAAACTAGAACAAGAATAGTTTTCCTGACTCTTTTTTCTCGGCATCACACAGTAATTTTTTCATGTGCCGTATCCTAGGCTCTTGCCATAGTTCGAAGTAAGATTTTTTAAAAAACTGCGAGTCTGGGCTCCTTTTCCAAGCTCTCCTGTCTTCTCCCTAGTAACTGCCGTCCTCTGTCCTCTCCTGCAGGTTCCAACTATGGGAGCCCACGCCCAGCTCATGCCAACATGAACGCCAATGCAGCTGCGGGACTCGCCCCTGAGCACATCCCCACGCCGGGTGCGGCCTTGTCTTGGCAGGCGGCCATCGATGCAGCCCGGCAGGCCAAGCTGATGGGCAGTGCCGGCAACGCGACCATTTCCACGGTCAGCTCCACGCAGCGGAAGCGGCAGCAGTATGGGAAACCCAAGAAGCAGGGCAGCACAACGGCCACGCGCCCACCCCGCGCCCTACTTTGCCTGACTCTGAAGAACCCAATCCGGAGGGCGTGCATCAGCATCGTCGAATGGAAATATCCTTTGTGCTCTGGGCTGGGCAGGGTGCCCCAGGAGCCCCAGTGGGGCCAGCCCCACATACTCTCCCAGGTGGTGAGCTGCATTGGCTGAGCTCAGACCAACTACATCCTCATCACTGGGGCGCTGTGTAAATACAGAACTTTAGGCCCTTAGACTCGATGAGTCAGAATGTCTGGGGAGAGGGCCCAGGAGTCTGCTGGAATAACAAGCAGGGTCCCCATTTCACATATTTTTTTTTCATACAGTGTGCACCCATTTGAGAAAACCTAAGAGGTTGTTATAAAATATCATCTCACCTGACTGAGCCTGTCTAAGGATCTGCTGGTGTATTGGGTGAATAGTGGTTACATGCTGCTCTTCCAGAGTCTTCTTTGCCTCCCATGTCATGGCACTGGTGTAATTTCATGACCTTCCATGTCCCTAGGGTGAAGGAGACCAAGAAGTGCAAGAGGATATTGGTCAGTGACCCTGGCTTGTGGTTCAAGGCTTAGGAGCCGTGGTTCTCAAACTTGGCTGCACGTTGGCATTGCCTGGAAAGTTGTAGCATACTACAGGCGCCCGAGCCCCATGCAGGCATATTTTAAAGGTCTCCAGATGACTCTCGTGTGTAGCCAAAGTGGAGAACACTGGCCTGGAGTTTTAAACATAGATCCACTTTGTATGTGTAGAACCTAGTGAGTGGGTCCTACAGAGAAAGTGTCTTTGAAGGGCCAGGCTCTCACTGTGGAATTACAGGCCTCACAGGAATTGTGGGCTGGTGGAGATTGAAAGGAGCTTCAGGATTAGTAGGTCCACCCCTGACTTTGCCCAGCGATGACATTGAGCCCTATATGGTCATATGGTCAGTGACAGGACTAGAACCCTGGTACTTAGTGTTGGGTATTTTCATAATGAGAATTCATTTAGGTAGTGCTACCACGTCTCCTGAGGCTCAGGATGAGCTCAGCATTTCCACTGAAAGATTAAGGCCTTACCAGGTAGTGGTTGAAAGAAGCCAAGAAGATGGCTTGGGAGAGAAAAGCTTTTGTTCAGCAAGAAATGTCAGTTCTCTAAATATTTGAGCCCCTCAACTCAAAAAGTAACTTTGAGAGAACCCGTGTGAGCCAAGTACGGCCATCTGTCCCGAGTGGCCAAGTGTGCTTCCCGTTCCCAGAGGAGTGGGTGAGAGGCTCAGCTCTGGGCAGCCCCAGCATGCTGTTGTCATAACTGCTCAATCAGAACCATGTAGTGGGAGAGCTGTGGGCCTCGTGGATCAGGCTCCCACAAAGGGGAGGGCACCAAAGCCTGGAGAAGCTGAAGATCTTGCCCAGATCACACAGCCTGCAAGCAATAGAGCTGGATTCAAATCTAGATTCCCCAAGCCCTAAATCCATGCACTCCCTATGCACTCCCAGTACAGAGGAGACCTACTACGATAGATGTTCAGGGGATGCCATCCAGCCTGCTGGGACATGGTGGGACCTGGATCTGGGGCTTGAACCATGCCCCATTATGGCTCTGTCACCTGTGTTCTGAGGGGTAAGGGGTCATTTGAATCACCAGAGCTTTTGTTTTCTCATCTCTAACGGGGAGTAACCAAGGTCAATACCTTCCAAATGGAAGGGCTGCAGAGTCTGTCCATGGACACTGGTTAAAAAGCCACAGGAGGCCTGAGTCAGGGACTCATGAAAAGATTGTTGACTAAGTCAGTAGCAGTGTTACCAAGGCCATGACCCAGAGCCACCTGTGGTGCTCAGTCCCTGCATTGCACCCCCAAGTTGGGCAGAGGGGTGCTGCAGCCACTCCACCTGGGGGAATGTGCCTTCTCCCCTGCAGGAAAGGAGGCAGCCAGCCTCTGCAGTGCTAGTCAGATGGCATCCCCAGATTGCCTTGGAAGAGTAGCTGGACAGGTAAGGAGATGGTCTGGTGTATCTGCTAGTCAGCGTTCCTTGAAAGAGTGGAATTTGATGCTGTCATTAAGAAGGAAAGACAGTTTAAAAATGACCTGGCTGTCACAGGGTGACATAGTATGCTTCCAGGTCTTACCTGGCTTCTCCACTTTGCAGCTGATGGCTTTTCATATCTGCCTGATTTGTTTCTTTACATGGTATCTTCTCTGGCAGTAAGGCAGGCATTTTTAGCATAAGATGATGGACAGATAGCCCAGGTTGGGGGAAGATGTAGAATTGATAGTGTAAGAAACACCCCAGGCTTAGCCATCACCCACTTTGGTGGAGGGAACAAGTTGACATTTGAAGACTGGATATATGAGGTCTGGCTCAGTTGAACTGATGTGCTCTGGCCCTGGTGGTGGGAGCACAAGGGACTGGATGATGGGAATGAAACCGACCAGCCCCTGGGCTGAATGTGACTTTCCTAAGCAAGTGGAGAAAGAGCTAGGAGGGAAGGGGTTTTGTGGTAGGAGGTCTAAAGTAATAACTTTCTAAAAATGCTTTAAGGTAACTTCAGGATAGAGCAGTGTAGAAGAGTCCTTGCAAACTCATACTTCGGAACCAAACTTCCTGGGTTTGAATCCCATCCTACCACAAGCTGTGTGATGCTGGGCAAGTTAACATTTCACCTGTTTCCTTATTTAAAAATGAGGATGATGGTTATGTACTCAGAGTGTTTGTGTGGAGCAGTTAGAGCAGAGCCTGGCACCGAGTACACTGACAGTGTCGGCTCTCTCCTTCCTGTGGCTATCACCGTCCTCATCAACACCACCACTGTCATTACTAGTTCCTTGGCCAACTCAAGACTTCTCCACAGAGTCTTGGAGAAGATGAGTCAGGGGGGCAGGTTCTGGACCTGGCTCTGTAACTTGTCAGCTTGGAGTCTGGGAGGGGTCATTTTCTTTTCTCTGTCAAGTTGGGGGTTAGACCACATATTGTCTTCTTGATATCAAGGCACAGGCAGAAAATGACAAGCTTCATGAGGTGTGCTGGGTAAATGGACCCTTGGCTATGTCTGTGGGGCTGAGGGGGATTGATAACCAGCACACCAGCTAAAGCCTTGACTAAGATGCCTTCCAGGCCCAGAGTTGCCCTGTTAACACAGGTCAGAGGCTGTTCCCAGCAGGGGAATGGATGCTGGACTCTGTGGTCAGGGAATCTGAGTTCTAGTTCTGATTGGAAAGTACCTGCTGTGGGGTCTTGCGAACATGGCTCAGGCTTTCTGGGCCTCAGGGGTTTGGATGAGATGACCTCAGAGTTCTGTTTCCTTGCTTTGGTTCATTAACTTTGAAGACAGGTTTCCCTGGGACACGAAGGCGGTTCCTTCTTTTTTTTTTTTTTCGGCGGTTCCTTCTTCCAGCAATTTCTACCCTCTTCCCTTCCTCATCTTGTTAGGCTCCATGGCTGAGGCTGGAAATTTGGCAGTGTGGGGGAACCCTGGGAGATGGGGCCTGAAGAACATACACTGGCCTTCCTCTGAAGCCTCCCCTTTCTGGCCTTCATTTGAGGGTGCAGGATGGAAGGATAATTATTATATTAACTCATTTTTCTCTTGAGAATGTGTCCTGCCTGATAGTTTGATAGAGAAATCTGGGCACAAGAGCTGGAGTGTACTGCTAGTGAGTGAGCTTGGCTTACCCTCTAGATCCCAGCACACACATATGGGAGTGAGGAGGACTTAGAACATAAGCCCTGCCCAACTGAAGGCAGGGCCTCCACCCACTGCAGAAGGTTGAGGTTTCCCACACAGACCTGGGCCGTGGAGGAAAGACAGTTGCTCGGCTCTGAATGCAAAGTACACGTGCTGCCATGCTCTTGAGGGTCCAGAGCTCTTAGCTGTCTTCAGATTCTGTGGAAGATGTCAGAAAATAAAGTGGAAGGAAAAGAAAAAAGGATCACTTTAAACTTCAGATTAAAAGATCAAAAGCGAATGTCCAAATTTCAGTGAAAATTCATGAAGTCAAGTCTGTCTTGCCTCTCCCACCCCCAGCTCAAGGCCCCAGGTGGCAGTGTGGAAACCACGAGAGAAGGGGTATCTAGGGGACAGTCTGTCCCCACCGGAGCTGGCCCTGCTCTGTAGAAGCAACCCTGAACATACATGGGGGAAAATGAAGTCCGGTGCAATCTAAATAAATAAAAGAAGAAGAAAAAAAGTTTTTAGAAATCTGTTTACTCTGGCACGCGACTGGCCTCCACTGCTTTTGACATATTAGGAAAAATTTTGGCGGGGACCCATTAGAAGCACTTAAAAAGGCATATGTTTCTTTTCAGAATACAAGGGGCTTGGAATGTATTGTTTAAACAAAATTCTTATGAATCTTTGATTCATTTAAAAAATATATATGTATGTTTGTTTCACTTGTGCTTTCTGTAGCATTGACTTCCTTAACTCCCTTCCTCAGACCATTTGAAATAATTATTTTACTGACTATTTTTGCCAATTGTGTGGCCTTAGCGATCTATATTCCCTTTCCAGAAGACGACTCCAATGCCACCAATTCCAACCTGGTAAGTCCACTGTCCCAAGTCTCTGTCTGCTTTTCTTTCTTGGTGGAGGGTCGAGCTTGGATGACACGGATTCAAGCTGGAATGTGTGGAGAAGTGAGATGTGTGTTTGACATGCACAAAAGTGCTGCTGAGCTCAGATCTCAAGTGCTATTGCTCTTTATTTAAATCAGCACCTGTCTTATCACAGCCCATTTTCAGAAAGAATATTCCAATTAGGTGGTAGTGAGCTGTGTGTGAGTGTGTATGTGTTTTGAGGGCTCCAAAATGTGTTGCAAGTGCAGGTGTTTGCAGGAGCAAGCTTTTATTATTGGATGATTTTTGTATTTATTTTAAGTTACTGCGTCCCATTGGTAGGGTTTGCTCAGGTGATCTGTAGTACCACGGCACGAGAAACAATTTCTAGGAAGCTTTTAGGAAAGTTTCCTTTTGCAGCCAAGATGCATTATTTAGTTGAAAAGGTTTTATTTTCTTGGGAAAGGCAGCTTTCCATTTGGATTGTTGGGAAGCCAGCGCTGGCAATTTGGGTTTAGAATTTGTCCATGGAAAAAGCGCGGACTGTGTTTACTTTTGGCTGAGCGTGAAGTCATTACAGAGGCCTTTACTCTGTCTGGGCATGGGAGGAAAAGAGCTCTGGAATGCAGTTGGCAAAATTGGGGCAGCCACAGGCAGTAGGAAAATCCTGTGTCTCTCTCTCTCCCCGCACAGAGACACCATAACTTTTCATGTGATTCCCCAAAGCGCATCTTTCCCTGCCAACAGCACCTAACCCTAATTAGCGAGGTTGCAATGTCTGCTGAGATCGGCGTGGAAAGAAATGGAAGGGTCACAAAATTCTCCTTCCTGTTGTGGCTGGCTGCTGATGGCATCACAGCTGTCATTCTTTTGCTTTTTAACCTTCAATGTTGTCTTTAGCCCCTTCAGCACCTAAATCAGAGGCGCGTTGTAAGCTTCTCCACCATCTCCCCCAGTTCTGACGTCTGCCCCAGCTCCATATCGGGTAAGGTGTTCTGGTGCGAGCTGGGCTGCTGCATCTTGGGGCTTGGCTGGGCCGCGTGTCGGGGACAGGTTCCAGTGAGCTGGAACAGCGAGCTCCGAGTGATGACATGGCCAGAGTCGGCAGGCTGAGCGTTAGCTGCAGTCCACACGGCTTTCTGAGGCATGACCTTGTCTCTTAACAGGCAAGAAATCTTTACTGTGTCAGAAGAAATACAAGCAAAAGTGTCTCCCAAATGGCCCTTGGAGGAGAGGGAGCCTCTTGCGTTGGCTATTCTTCTCTGTGCATTCACCTCCCTCTCCTAACACGGGTCCTCCCGAAACCCCTGCAGCTTCACACTTAATCTGCAACTTAAAAAAAAAGAATCTGTGTCTTATTCCGCAGTGAGGCTTTGAGTGTACTCTAGGCAAAAGCAGTGGGGAAAGTGGGTAGAGAGTTTGCGCTTATTCTCTGCCCCAGCTCCCCCACCCACCCCAGAGCTGGGGGGGGGGGTGTTGTTTAGCAGCACCCGGGGGGCCTGCACGAGAGGGGAGCCTGGGCTGCTCGTGTCAACTTACTGCCAACTTATTGCTGAGCCAGAGTGGATGTTGCCGGGTGCAGGGACTGCTGGAGGGACAGTGGATTTTTAAGATCCCATTGCAGAGTGATGGAGGTGTTGTCAAGCCAGATGGTGGTGATGGTTGCACAGCTGTATAACTGTACTAACCATCATTGAGTCGTGTACTTAACAGTGGGTGATTTTTACGGTATGTGAATTATACCTCAATAAGGCTGTATTTTTATAAAAGAATGACACCAGCATGCAAGCCCAGGCCTCTCAAGGCCTCGCAGTATCAGTTGCTTGTTGCTCTTTTATTCCTTGCAAATGAAGGGGCAGGCAAGATAGGTGGAGGGAGAGGTGATGGGGACAGCCAGTGAACTTTGTCCGTGCCATTACACTAGGAATTCGGGGGTGTAGAACAGAGAGTGCAAGGTGCAAAAGGGACTTCTAGTTGCTAGAGCAGTTCCGTCCTCTTTGAAGGCACAGCTTGGCCAGTGACTTACTAAATGAAAGAAGCATGCTCACATTTCCTTTATCCCCAGTACAAACACACACACACACACACACACACACACACACACACACACACCCAGACACACGCAAATGCAGACACAGATACATACGCAGACACACACAGATGTGTGCATGCACAGACACACATACATACACGGACACACACATGGATAGACACATAGCCACATGGACATGGACATGCAGACACACACTGACACACACACAGACACACACAGATGTATGCATGCATAGGCACACATACGCAGACACACACAGACACACAGACACATGGACGTGTACACGCAGACACACACAGACACACATACATACGCAGACACACACATGGATAGACACACAAACACACGGATATGTACACACAGACACAGACATGCAGATACACACATAGGAATACACCTAGACACACACACAGACACAGATGCACACACAGACACACACGTGCACACATAGGCATACATACATGACATGCACATGGACACGCACGGACACACAGGCACACTCTTTCCTGCTCCTGCCCTATCCCTGAACTTCCTTTAATATATATAATTTTTTGATTTTGAAATTTTTTTTCAGGAAGAGTGTGCATTTGCCACCTCTGCCAGTTTGTTTTTGCTCCCTCTTCAGCTCCGAGTGCTCTGTGCGCCGTCCCCATCTCTAGAAAGTAAAAGATATGGATCTCAGTTGCAAACTGAGAAAGAACTGCAACTTGGTTTTGCTTTCCCATGACCAAGCATCCTGTCTAATTTGTGACTCCAGTCGGCTGGTGGCATGAACGTCATGTCTGTAAGCGCAGGGCTCTCAGCCTCTTCCCTGGAGCTGCAGCTTACGGTCACTGTCTTATGGAGCTAAGGGGACATGCCACTCCTGCTGTGGTTGATCCACACTGTGCAGGTGGCCTTATCCCTCCTGGAAGGGCCTTGGCCTTTGATCCATGCAGGCCCTGTGGTCTCTCGTTCCCAGCATGGGGTCTCTTGATCTGCGGCTCTGGACCTCTCCTGGCCATGCTGGGGCTGGGAACGGGGACACAGTGAAGATTTAACAGGCCCTTTTCTAGGGACACACCCCAGGGTCTCACTCATTTTTGTTTCCTGGCTGATGCTCCCAGGTTCACCATCTTGGGATCTTTGTTTGGGGCAAATGGCCCAGCAGAATCCTCCTGTGGTTTTCCAGACTGCCCTCCATGCCCCGACCTACATTTCTTGAACTCGGAAGCCATGATGTGACTTTTGTCCTCTGCGTTCCACTGTGTCATACCTTCCCTGGGATGATGAAGGCCACTGACTTCGTGGGACGGGAGCACAGTGCCTAAGGGGTATTAGAAAACCCCTGAAACATACAGCCAAGCCAAACCCACACTGGTTTATAGGCGAGGCTATTACTCCACTCTCTGGATGTAGTCAATATGAGCACTGTGATTTGGGCCCTCCTCTTCCCTCTTCTCTCTGCAGCATCTTATGTTGTGAGATGCCCCTTTGCAGAACTCTTTTGACACTTGGCTTTGGGACAGTTACTATTAAGTCTCGTCCTATCTCTTGCCATTTTTTACCTGTTTCTGCTAGTTTCTCGTCTTGCTTCTACAGGAACTTTTACCAGGTCTCTGTCCTGGTCCTCTAATTTTCTCATTTTATGGTCACCCCTGGGTGAGCTTGGCTCCACAATTTCACGTTCCCTTTCTAGTAGGTTGTTCCTAGATTTCTGTGTCCAGCTCTGAGCTCTTTCTTAAGGCCTGGACTAGTATTTCCTAGTGGACCAGAGCGGGGACTCCTGAACTGGCTTGATTATTATGACCACTTGGATAGCTTCAACAGAAAGATCCCAATGCTTTGGTACATCTGATTCAGATTTAGTAGCTCAGGGACATGGCCTGGGACTATGCATTTGAAAACTTCCTCATGGGCTGGAGTTGGGGGGCTGTTAATTAGTCAGGTTTGACTACTGACTTTTGGGATGGAGCTAAATTTGAGTTGGGCTGACATGTGTTCCTGTCTTGGCCTTACTACATTGTATCTTAATCTGGATCTTAGTGTGGAGTTGTTTAGCCTTTCTGAACCTCTGATCCCTGGTCTGTAAATATGGAAGTAATGCTCCCCCGTGAGGTTCTGGGGAAGAGCAAGGCAGACAGCAATCCTGGAGTACCCGGTGTGGTCTTGGCACGCAGTGACCTGTGCCAGGATGTGTTGCAGACACCTCAAACAAGCCCACATAGGACTCAACTTCTCTCTCATTACACAACTAGTCTCCAAAATGAAGACAAAAGAAACCATGCAGGAACATTGCTTCTGACCTTTGCCTTTAGCTGGTCACTGGCTCTGTTCACCTTGCCATCGTGAACACCTTCTTCCTCTCACCATACTCATCTGAGCAGACATTCGGATATGGACTTTCTGGGGGCAACATATCACATTTAGCTTCCTTTCTATTTCTGGAGTCATTTGTGTAAACTTTCTCTGCCTTCGTTTTTTTGTCTATAAAATGGGAGTATCTACCTTATAAGTTACTGTGAGTATTAATGAGATGTCTAAGGCTCTGAGAAGAGCCATAGGGAGGGCTCTGTGTTGGGGGGTGGTGGCAATGTTGCCATCATGCCATCAATGGCATCCCAGCCCTTCCCAGCCCATCATGGCCTTTTGCCTGGACTATTGCAGTCGCCCCTTGCTTTGTATTCTATTCCTGGTATTTCCTTCCATGGGTCCGTCTTGTGCTCCTTTAGCCATTTGACAAGCATCCATGCCAAGAGCTAGGCATAGTGTTTGAGATATTTCAAGAAGCAGACAGAAAAGATAAACATATACAGATAGATGTTTGCAAATAATGAAAGGTCTTACAAGGGGTCAGGGTGTCAGGGAGGAAGCAGGGATTCGTTTTGCTTTTGGGAAAGGAATAAGGGAAGGTTTCACATGGGAGGACATATTTGAGTTGTATCTACTAAAAAGA